CCATTTTATAGTTTCAAAAAACAGTATAAAATGTTTTTACTTAATAGTCAAGTAGAGTTACAGGACAGATTTGACTAGACTTACTGTATATGTTATTAAAAAAATGATATTATAGTAATCTCATATATAAAATAAGTTTTGTAAATTATACTATACACTTAGAAACCTTAGCAATAAATACTATAGAGATCAACTTTTTTTTAATTTAGTTTTAAATACTCAAATATAATCTCATAATGGTAGTGGTCAACTCGAAAGCTTCTGCTCCTTTGACCACTACGCACTCTTCATCTGTAAATACATATTATGAAATATAATGTAAATATATATATAGTATACTAGTAATACATAATCTTGTAAGAAAGAAATAAGTGCAAATAAAACTGATTCTGATTCTGGAGGAGGCGGCGGCTGTTGAACATCTTGCTGTTGCATAGGTTGTTCAATTTGGTCGTCATGCTGGTCGTCACTATTTCTGCGGCAAACTGTATGGGCTCTGCCATGTCGTATCAGAAATTCGCGTGGATCAACCTTTACCGAGTCATAAATTTCGTATCTGCTTGTCCGCTGGAACTGAGCAAGAACTGAGTAGAATGCCAAAAACATGCATTTATATATACTCCCAGTTAATCCTTTAGTCCGTTCCACTCTAATTACTAATTCCTTTGTTATTAATATTTTACCAGCTAACATTACTAACCAGCCAGTATTGCTACCTCACACGAAATCGTTCATATAGAAACATGATCAGTGATCACACGCAATGTCGCATTACCGGAATATTGGTCAGGTTTCGAAGCGATCACGGGAATTATGCCCTTTTTTGCTGGTATCATGCCCTTATATTATGCCTTTATTATGCTTCACGAATCACGAGAGCGGTTTAGTGTTTAGTGTTTAGTTTGTGTACGCAATTTAGTTGTTTGCGCAAGAAACATCATGACTCATTGAGTAATGTAAGTATAATAAGATAATGCTGAAACGCGCGCCCTTTTGGCAGACACGCAAGGAAACCTTAAAATGCATGGTGTACCACTGACATCGACTCGCACCGTTGTGCAGATGAACTGCTCAAATTTGCACAATCTTTTCAAAAATTGAAGAGTTCAGTGATTTTTGATGAAGACAAAGAAGAAGAGAAAGATTCTGATTTAGACTCCGGTTCTGAATATGAAACCGAAGACCACGAGGAAGAAACCGACAGCGAGTCAAGAGACGACGGAACTGCTGAAGCTAAGAACCAAAGGACAAGGATAAACCATCATTTCTAGAAGCTCTGAGAATTTTGTTGATTACCACCTAGTTGATGTATTTCCAACTCTTTGTAAAGTTTACGCGATCGCAGTTGCAATTCCAATCAAACCCGCACACGTTCGTCTATGTCTCAAGAAAAACTTGAAGCGTTGCTACTCGAGGGGCATTTCACTCCAAAAAAGCGTACGGGATTTTCGGATTTTTAAAAATCCGCGGATTTTTTAGCGGATTTAGCGGATTTTTTCCGGATTTTTTAGCGGATTTTTGAAGAGAAAATTTGCTGGATTTTCCGGATTTCTTCGGATTTTCCGGATTTGTTCGGATTTTTTCTGGATTTTTGAAAATCTGTTGGATTTTCCGGATTTGTTTGGATTTTCCGGATTTGTTCGGATTTTTTCTGGATTTTTTTAAATTATAGAGTTATAGAGCTAGGTAACGTTTTGAACAAATAATCTTAAGTTGTACGACGTCAACGTTATGCCAGGACGTCAGGGTTGAGCAGAGGACTAGGACCACAGCCTTCAGAAACTAACGAAGGTTGGGCATGCAGTCATTTTGTTTAAAATTCAAACAAGTTCATTATTCTTTCAAAAACAGTAAAAGAGAATAACTTTTGGTTTTGTAATTATATTTTACAACATAACGTCATTGTAACAAGAGCACATATTTAGTAGTAATAGGCTAAAAAAACTTAGCATATACTCGAGCGTATAAATGGAAATGCAGAGTGGTCCAATAATTACGAAATATAATGACAGCGATCACGGTATTAAGCGTTTAGCTTTCGCTGTCCGCCATTTTGAACGTGGAAAAGAACCTTTACGAGTAAATTACACCAAGTACTTCATATATTTTTTGTGGATTTGCGGATTTTTTAAGGATTTTTGTTGCATGCCATATATGGCATGCAACTTTCATATAGCTCTAAATTTCATGTCGTCGTGTTCCGGCACTGTGCGTACCGGTCGTAAATCACGTGGTAGATTCGTAAAGTACGACTGTACGACAAATACCGAGTTTTTCGGACGAGCATTTTCATGCCGGGTTTTCGTCGAAAGAAACGCAAAGAAATACTGATTATTCGCCGTAAATTTACATAATTGAGCGCCTTAGAAAAGGAAATCGAGGTAGGTAAAGCTTTACTGTTTTTAACTTGCCTTATATTTTGTTATTTGTTGTGATTTTGCAGCCGTTGTGCTCGCTCTGATTATTTATCAATTATCAGGCGTTTATATTTAGGAGGCGTGAAAGCCTCAAAGCCCCAACGCTATCATATTTAGGAGGCGTGATATATCGTGAAAGCCTCGAAGCCCAACGCTATCAAAATACTCGATTTTTATATACTCAAACTGAAACGGAGCCATTGTGCTCGCACTGATGATATTGTGTGCAAAGCTTCAAAACTACAGCACATTTTGTAAATAACATGAAATATAAATATCAAACAAATTTGATTATAAATAGTAATACTGTTGAAATAATACAACGAAATAGCAACCATTGTGAAGTACGCATAAGATTCAACATGACATTCAACATGACATTCGATGTAGTGTAAATTAACTCATTTCAATCACTCAAACGTCAAAATGATAAATGATAATCATTTTCAATCTATTATAGTAATTCACCGTTTCCACGGGTTTTTGTACCTTTCAAAGGTTACAATAAAGCTAATAAATCTAAAGGAAATAACATTATTTAATTATAAATTTGTGAAGGAAATCTAACAGTCAATCGCTTTCGATAAAACGTTGACCCACTTTAACCTTGTTAATGTTGTTATTACCGTCGCTTGCAACTAACTATTAATATAACGGTCGCTTATAAAAACATTGCCTATTCGCGTGTTTCTGCTGGGGTCTACACCGTAGGCTAATTCGCGTGAGAATCTTAATAAGTTTTCTTATTTTGACATAATAGCTATTTTTCAATAAATATTTTGATATTAAACTTATTGAATCAATATTTTAAGTTTCACGCCAGTTGTACCAAAGGTTATAAGCGCTATAGGCTATAGCGCGTCAAGGGTTTCAGATGGCATGCAACATGTACGCACTGCGTACCTATTTTTAAGGATTTCTGTGGATTTTTGAAGGATTTCTGTGGTTTTTAAAGGATTTTTCGGATTTTGATGGATTCAACGGATTTTGAGGATTTCATGGATTTTTTTCTGGATTTTTTCCGGATTTTTTGACGAAGTGTACGGGATTTTTGGAGTGAATTGCCCCTCGGCCTGTGTCTCAACGAACGTCTCGCTGGGCTAACCTTAAGTTGTTCAACGTTTGAAACCGCAAGTGATGCAAACGCGGTTAGATAAATTGTCAGCCTGAACTAGACTTATTTTACTCTCTCTGCAAAGATCAGCAAGGCATACGTCGAAGTTTTCCCTTGTACTTCTTTGGAAAAGGTTTATTATTATAGCTGACGAAGACAAAGTATCGGTATATTACATGTAAGGGACCGGTCATAAAGTAGAGGGGGGGGGGGTGGGCTATGAAAAATTGGGGGTGGGTCACTATTTTTCAACACGTCGAAAAGGGTGGGTCAGGAAAATTTATGCACTGCATTAGGGGTGGGTCAGGTAAAATTATTCACGTCTCACAATTTAATAAATAGCAAATAAAAACTTTTGCGAAATCTCTTTAACCTATTAACTTTATATATTAAACACAGGGGCGAAACTAGCCCCTTTTAATTAGGGGGGTGTCTGGCAGAATTGCCCTGCCAAAACCAGTGATGCCCTGCCAAAAAGTACCAAAAAAATTTTTCCGGAAAAATTATTTTGGCGACCTCCCCGATCGAATATTGCCCCCGCCCGGTACGCCTATGTGCTATCATTTATTTATAAGAGACCTTTGATTGCCCTGCCAATCGGGACGATTCGTATTTTGGGGTGGTGTAACACCCCCCCACACCCCCCCCTCAAGTTTCGCCCCTGATTAAACAACAGGAATTCACATTTGTATACAGTACATTGGGAAGTGTTCTAGTTACCGTAGTCTACTCAATGTCAGGGCCGTAGCAACCGGGGGGGCTGGGGGGCTGCAGCCCCCCCAATAATTTGCTAATAATCATTCTTTTTTCAAAATCATGCAAACTTTATCATTTAATCTGTGACAAACTGCAAAGAATGAAGATATTACTCATACTCCAGATCGTTCCTCGCGTAGAAATTTTAGCTGAATTTCTGTCGCGCATTTTCAAGAAAATCCCACAAAATCTGCACATTTTTGATGAACTAATGATTTATTTTGTCTTTTGCGTGTTGGGTCTTGCGAAAGAAAACTCTGAAAATGCCATTTCAGACCATCTAGAGACTCCAGATTTTCGAAATTTTCTCAAATGTTCTGCCTTCATTTCCGCGCAACTGCCATTTACGACGAAAATTCCCGCCGCGCATTTATAATACTACAGTCTGGCCCATACTTTCCTGTAAATTTCGACATACTAAAACGCTGTTTTCTGACTATCAGAATTCTGTTAAATCTTCCCCCAAAGTCCAGGAAATGGCATTTTAGAGACTCTAAATTTAAAAATTTCCTCGGGCCTTCGGCCCTCGCTTTCAGCCCCCCCAATCGAAAAGAGCTTCCTACGGCCCTGAATGTACTGTCATGCATTATGTTTGGACATAGTTGAATTATGTTCAAGAGTCGGGCGGCGTGTTACAACATTTCAATCTCGGAGATTTTTCGGGGATTCTGACTAAACTAGTAAAGAATCGTGGTAAGCCAATGCTGCCAACGTACGCGCACCTATCTACATTACCGTACAGTACATTATCTACATGACGGGGGGGGGTCACTAAGATTTCTGCTCTAATCTAGGGGTGGGCCACCTCAATTTATTGTCACAATTTGGGGGTGGGTCACTGTAAACCAGTCTTTAAAAAATCAATTTTCATAGCCCACCCCCCCCTCTACTTTATGACCGGTCCCTAAACTTTTATCAAATCCCGTTGGAAGTACAGTTAATATTGCTAACCTTCGCTCATCCTTCAAAGTTAATTTAAATTGAAAGGTTTCTCAAATACATTCAGTTACTTCTTCGAAGAGATAAACAAAGTCATGGTTTTATACGCCACTGATTGAATGCCAGCTTTAAAATTACATTGCGAAATGTCGTACGAGTTAAATATTTGCACGATATTAACTCATGGGGCACTTCTGACCAATGGGAATTTTGCGTACGCTCCGTACGCATAAATCGACTTTTTACTAATAAAGGTCGCAGGCCGTACCTCCAATGCAGCCTCTGCCTGACAACGGCCTGCGAGCAGGCTAGGTTATTTACAGTTCACTGATTGTGCCTAGGTGGGTGATAAAGGCCATATATCAACATGCGGTTTGCTGTAGGTAACAGAAGTGTGACACCAATAAGTTCGTACAAACTGGATCGATAAATATCAATAACTTTTAAGTTGTTCCGAACATATATTGCTACCCCTCCTTTTGCTCTCATATCGCGTCCTTCCCAACTTCTATCTCTCCTAAATATTGAATAATTGTGAATGGTCACCACAGCATCTGGCATTTCAGGTTTCAGGTGACTCTCGCTCACCACACATACATCTATATCGTTATTGACCAAGTTATGATTCGTCCATACTAGAATTATCGAGACGAGATCACCGTAGTAGAGGGCATTCTGCTTAAGTCGCAGAAATTAATAGTCCCGAAAGCCTTACGACACGAAATGCTCGGTAGGATTCATGCTGGGCACATGGGTGTGCAGAAGTCTAAAGAGCGTGCACGCGATGTGTTATTCTGGCCTGCATGGAATGTGCAAAGAAATCGAGAAGATGGTACAGAAATGTACAACATGCCAGGAATACCATACCGCTTTGCAGAAAGAGCGTCTTCTGCCACACGACATACCTGTGCGTCCATGGCAATCGGTTGCCACATATTTGTTCGTCTGGAATATTACCAACTATGTATTGGTGGTTGTTTATTACAGCAACTACTTCGAGATCGCACAGCTTGCAAATACAAAGAGCTCGACGGTGATTCAACATATCAAGTCAATGTTTGCCAGGCATGGAATACCAGAAGTTTTGATCTCCGATAATGGTCCCCAATACTCTTCGGAGGAGTTTCGTCAGTTTGCGACAACTTGGGGATTTATCCACAAAACGTCGTCACCAACATACCCGCAGTCAAATGACTTAGCGGAACGCACCGTGCAAGCCGTGAAAAAATTATTAAAGAAGGCTAAAGCGAGTGGATCTTGTCCATTCTTAAGTTTACTAAGCTATAGAAACACGCCTCTTCAACAGACCGGATCTCCAGCACAACTAGTATTAATTAATCGTAGACTGAGAACAGATCTACCGACGCATCCTAAAGATCGAGCTACTTCCAAAACTCACTGATATTAAGGCAACGAGAAGAGCCTTAGAACAGAGGAAATTGGAACAAAAATGATATTATGACCGTTCAGTACAGTCATTACCATCTTTATATAGATGATCATATAATAGATGATCCAAAGAAAATAGCTAATGGATTCAATGAATACTTTATCAATGTTGGACCAAATCTAGCAAAAAAAATTAAAGACAACCCAAACATGACTTTTGATATAATTACCTCACTAGTAATTATCCCAACAGTATGTTTCTTGATCCGATTACTGAAAATGAATTAGTAATTGAAATAAGCAGTATGAATCCAAATAAAAGTCCTGGACACGACGATATTAGCATTCAAATAGTTAAATCACATGCAAAGGAAGTTTTTAAACCATTGACACATATTTTCAATTTAATATTTCTCAATGGAATTATTCCTGACAAATTAAAAGTTGCCGTAGTAACTCCGGTTTACAAAGTAAAAGAAAATAATAAATTTACAAACTATCGACCAATATTAGTTCTTTCTTGTTTTTCAAAATTATTGGAAAAACTAATGTGCAAAAGATTAATGAAATTCATTGAAAAAAAACACAAACTTTTATCACCAAATCAATATGGGTTTAGAAAAGGCAGGTCAACAGAGCATGCGATTATTGAGCTCGTTGATAAAATTACAAGAGCAATAGATCAGGGGAAATACACTATTGGTATTTTCCTTGATTTATCAAAAGCATTTGATACGATTAATCACAACATTCTCATTCAAAAACTGGAATATTATGGTATAAAGGGTATATCCAAAGACTGGTTTGAATATTATTTAAAGAACAGAAAGCAAATTGTAAAGTTTAACCAAATAAAATCAAAAGATATGACAATTACAAGTGGTGTTCCTCAAGGATCAGTACTGGGACCTTTGTTATTTCTTTTGTATATAAATGATATCCAGAATTGTAGCAATATTATTTCAAAATATTATTTGCTGATGACACAACCATTTTCTATGGTCACGCTTGCCTTAAAACATTAAACCAAACAATATACAAGAGGAAATAAATAAAATAGCTGTTTGGTTAAATATTAATAAACTATCTATAAATACAGAAAAAACAATTTTATTGTATTTCGGTCCTCGAGAAGGAAAAAACTAGAACATAATATAACAATTTATTTAAATAATAAAATTATTGAGCGAGAAAGTTAGAAAGACAACATTTTTGGGTATTGTTGTTGATGAATGTTTGACATGGAATGATCATCTAAAGCAAATATCAAAGAAAATTATAAAATCAACAGCAGTCATTGTCAGGATCCGACATTTCATAAACTTGAAAGCTCTTAAATTAATTTATTATGCATTAGTCTATCCATATCTTATTTACGGTAATCTAATATGGGGTAACACATACAAAAAGAGAACACAAAAATTAGTAAATATTCAGAAAAAGATTATTCGTCTAATGACGTTTAACTCTTACTTTGAAAATACCGAACCAATATTTAAGGAGTTAAAAATACTAAGCATTTATAATTTGAATCAATATCTAACAAGTTTATTTATGTTTCAATATCATAATTTGAAGAATTTACCAGAAACATTCGTAAATTATTTCATACCCAATAATAAAATACATGACCATGGCGCAAGGAATGCAATTAAGCTTCACAACACTTATAAAATAACGAATTATGTAATCCATACTCTTTCTAACAAAGGAGTTGATGTTTGGAATAACATAGCATCTAAATACAAATCTATTTTCTCCTATAGTACTTTTAAAATTAAAATAAAAAATCATTATATATTCAACAATTGATGTATAATGGTTTAAAATATATTATCACTTTCTTTACTGTAAATATACATATATAGTATCCTCCACTTCGAATATATATAATTAAGTTTATATGCATGTTAATCTGTTTTATTTTATACTTGTTATATACTTTTATCTTTGTTCAATCTAATATATTATTCGTATACTGACTAAATAGAATGAAATAATGTAAGTATAGGCTATAGGGTCTTAATTAAAAAGCCTAGTAGGTTTCTAGAAGGCTCCTAGCCTATCCAAAACAATAGAAAAATAAATGTAAATAACTTGATATTTTTTACGGGCGTAATAAAATAAAAAAAACAACAAAAAAAACCCATCCGAATGACTCAGTCCGATTGTGCCAGAAAGGAAAGTGGAAACCAGCTGTCGTAATTGACTTAGATGAAGCTCCAAGATCGTATCATGTGCGCACTCCAGATGGTAGCACCTTCAGACGGAACAGGCGACATCTTCTTCATGCTCCGAAGTCCGAAGGAAGAGAATAGATAACGGTTGCAGAACCAACAATGGCAGAAACAACATTAATGACTAACGTGGAAGGATTGCACGAATCGCCAGCGAAAGTGATGTATGAAAGAAATACCGAACAGTGTCATGCATACGACTGATCACGTGAAAACGAGATCTGGACGAATTGTGAAGAAACCTAAGAGATTTGGTGACTATGAACTATAACTTATTATTAGGTATTATTATTATGAACATTATTATTTTGAAGAAAAGACAATAAAATGAAAAAATTAGGGTAATATACTGGGTGGCGCAAAAAAAGTTGCCCTGTTTGATTTATTTTAACTTAAAAACTAAAAGAGCTATTACACATAAACTACGTGCATTGCATTCAGTATTGTCTACCTTAAGTTTTGATATACGCTCTGTGCATTTTCGTGCAATATTGACCGAGAGATCTGCGTTTAAACTTGAATAAACATTGTTTGTGTGATGTTACTCTGAGTGTATATCCACACCGGGCAGGCTTGAAAAATATGCCTGGCCACGGGGGATTCGAACCTACGACCTTTGGAATACTAGCCCAATGCTCTTCCAACTGAGCTACGCGGTCAGGACGGTTCGAGTATGCGATATTTCGGAACTGAGTCTCGTTCCTTCGATATCAGTGTAATCTAATAGTCATGAAATTTCATGATTATTGGATTACACTGATATCGAAGGAACTAGACTCAGTTCCGAAATATCGCATACTCGAACCGTCCTGACT